AATGAAATCAATAAATCGAATAAGTAATTAGGAACATTTGTGTTCATTTCATTTCATCAAAGATATCTACTATCACACTCTACATACTGATAGTAGAGTAAACTACGTGACCGACTGCTTGGGGTGGACACTTCATATTGTGTATCGGGACTCAGCTTAGACCTCGGCTAATTCCCCACAGCTTAAACAACCGGTACCGCATAGCTCTACCGGAGGTCTAGGTTCCCGTACAGTGTTGCTGTTATTAGTGGAGAAGTTGTGACGTGCAGTTAAGGGCCGCCACAACCCCAGCACAGTGTAGCAGCAGCCAGCCCCAGCCCCTAGGCAGCCCCCGGTCACAATTACAGCTGAATTTATTATCATAACAGGTACATGTAAGAAGAGTTTCTAAATTATATTTACAAATTACAAACAAAGAAAAGTACAACTCCTTACCTGTGCATTCTGGGAAGTACTTAGAACCTGGCACAGACCAGACACAAGACCTGGATCCTTGAAAAGGCTTTTCAACTTTTGTGTAGACTGTAAAGAAAAGACAAAGCAAACTGAAACCTTTGTTTTCACAATGCACCTTGTATAATCAACTTCTGTGTCATCATTCTTTTATTCATTCTCTTTTTTACATTCCATATAATATTCATTGTTTTATATATAGAAATAATAATGATCACAGACACAGAATGCAACAATTTAGCAACAATATGTGATGAATCGTTATGGTAAAGGATTATCATTTACTAATTTTATTTTAATTACTCCATAATAACTTTTCAAAACGTTCATATTTATACAGCTTAACTTTTTTCAATGTTGATTTTAGGAATCACATTTTCAAATTAATTTATGTGGCAATTTAATTAATATATGCCTGAATCTGAACTTTGTGTAAAAAAAAACAACACCAACAACAGAACATTGATAATATCACAACAGGAAACTTGCAAAGTATTCAACGGCAATAACTCATCTATCTTTCATCGGGAAAACTTGTGTTATATGCAGATAGACAGAGTATGGAGAAGTGATCCATATATGTTGCCACTACTCTGTAGCAGGCAACACAAAAAGAATTATTAGAATAGTGCTCACATATACGGTCTAGATCTTACTACATGTAATAATTTTTTATGTGTCAAGTCAATAATTCCATGACCCAACTAATGGCAATTAAGCATTTAAGATTGTGGTGCCAAAAACATTAACATCAAACATAAGTTGTGATAACAATCACAATGCATGAAAAGTTTAACATTAGAATTATGTACTCACACATATGAAGTTCTGAAAATATTAATTGACAAGGTATGACACTATGTCTTAACATGATTTCTTAGATAAATCAACAAGGCATTTTCACCCTATCACCAGGGGCAAAAGTAAGGCCCCATTCCCAATACAAAATAGTCTCTTTTTTCCTAATTAAATTTCAAAATAAAATTACAAACAGCAGCGAAAAAGATCAAGCTTTTTCTAATTCTGAGAAAAAACAGTTTTTCTTGAAGAACATAAAGAACATGCAATAGGATTTTGAGCAATTTCTATCTGTAGATGTGTTGCCTAGAAGTAAATATATCGGCAATCTCCTGGTTTAGACCCCTATATATTTTTCAGGAGTAAAACTTGTATATAATACACTAAAGAAAACGGATTGAACCTTATATATACTCCTGGTTTAGACCCCGGGGTCTAATCCAGGATATAGCCAATTAAGTTACTTAGTATGAATTCTTTTTTTAACAATAAATTATTGTGTGTTTTATTTTGAGTAACCAACATAACCTATTAAACCATTTTTCAATGCAACAAAAATAAAAAAATGTATTTTACAGAACTTTAATTGCTTATCTACAACAGAAAAACATACATCAATATAAATAATCAACCCTGATATGGCTATTAAAAATGGAAATAAATTTGTTAACTTTCCTAAAAAATATCTAAAAAAATGGGAGTGAAACGTCCATACAATTGACAAATTGGGAGTGAAACGTCTAGGTGTGAACCGTCTTGGGAGTGAAACGTCTCAATAGTGAAATGTCTTGGGAGTGAAACGTCTGACATTCATAGCCAATATATCTCAAATGATGTCATATTATATTTTATAGGTCTACCCGATATTAGGTGGCAGTATCAGTGATTGGCCACTCCGCCCTTAGGCTTACTATAAGATACCAAATACAAAATCCACCGATAAAAAAAACTATAACAATAATACGGGGAAGTCAAAGTCCGGGCCCGCTTTGCGGGCCCGGGCGGCTATAGACTACACGTGTATATTTAAAAGAAAATTAAATAAAAAAACAATTAAAAAATATATTGAATTCTATACCTATCAATGAAATTTTCAGTGTCAGTTCTAGTTAGGCGCCGCCATTTACAATGTAAGTCAATGATAAAAGGCGATGTATTCCGATAACGGAACAAATTTCAACTTTTCGGATTAATAATAATCGTCGAGTGTTCCGAGTGAAAACGGAAGTGGGTACATATAATACCGAATGACACCTTTAAAACGGAAAAATGAAAGGATTTTTTACCGACTTTCCCGTTCATAGGCTTTGCGTAATTTCATATTAATGCCACTATAAAAACTATAGTAAGCCTTTAGGGTGGAACCAAACATATTTCACCGAATATTAAATTATAGATACTGAAAAAAATCGAATGACGTAGAGATATTATTTTTTAAGTGTGTGGACAATCATTATGTTTCTTCGATAATAACACCAAATATAACCGTAATGAGAAATGTATAAAATTGAACTTATTTCCCGCGTTTTCAAGGTTTTGTATGAATCATCTTTCACGTGTCGTCAAAGAAAGTCGAAATTCTTTTGGACTATCCATTGAAAGTCTTTTTTGTTTTTAATTTGTATCAGTGTTATCAAAATTCTACAGAATGATAACAATAACCCTTAAATTACCTGCTGAATAACTGAGTTATCCGCAACTAAAAGTCCAGACAAAATTTCTTCAAGAGAGGCGGCCATATTGTAGCTTTACTTTCCTCCAGACTGAAGAGTTTTTAATTCCCGAAAAGAAACGAAACGGTCTTGACGTTAATAATTTATTGAGCATAAACATAATAATAATTACAAATGTCTCTTGAGTCCTTTCAAACATGATTATATGGAATATGAATCTATTTAGAGACGCTTCTTACATTTCTGTCCTATCATATGATTGATAACACTGATCAATATGTTACAGTATTCCTGTTTTGCTGGTGCAGGGATGTACATGCACTCATATAAAATTGTTCAAATTTTCTATACTGAAGTGACATAAGTTACAGATGATGAATAAAAAGGTAAATAACTGAAACAGCACGGGGTATTCATATTTCAACGTCTCTAATATTATTACAGACGTTGAAATATGAACTTTTTCAAAAAGGCTTATATTAAGGTTTTTTTTTTAGATATACAGTACTGTACAGTATATGATAAGTACACGTGCTGGAATTCACAATTATAAATTTTATTTGGAATTTAAATGCGTTTTGAGCTCCACATCCCAAGTTCCAAGTTAATTATAAAGTTAAACAAATGTCTTACGGATTAAGCAAATTTTGACATAAAAAGCATGTTATAGCTAGTTGATCAGACTATATGTATAGTTGCTATAACCCCTCGTACAATTGATAAGAAGCGTGCCACTTCTTTGGTATTGTCTTCTCGTGAGAAGTTGTATGTACTACAGGTAATGGCTCCAGAAAACGGTATACATGTAAATGTGCTCTGCATATATAGTTTCTTGGAACTGCACAGTACTCTTTGGAGTTGTTGACACAAACAGAAACATGTTCGCCCGAATCTAAAACTCGGATTGTTTTATTTAATTTTTAAATATACGTGAATAGATCTAGTACTATTAAAACACTCTTAAGAAACAATCGTCATAAAAATGCATATTTTTCAATATTTCTCAGTTATTGCAAATTATTTGATAGAGTAAGACCTTAGGTAGAGCAATCAAGGGGACGTTTTGAAAACTAAAAATAGATATGTCTGCATGTATTAACAATCATAAGGATTTTTTTCTATGTTTCACAAGTTATTGCCGCAGAAGTGATGGAAAATACAAAATAAACGTTTATCATTTTAATTTAAAAAGAAGAAAATATATAAATCCTACACTTGTGTAAAATAGTATAAGTATTGTATTTTTATTTATTTCTTTAAAAAAAAATGGCATTTATATGTACTTCCAGGATTAGCCAGATACTGAATCAATAAGACGACTGAAACAGAATTAATATAGCTCTTTGAGACAATTCAGATTTTTATTACCAATTCAATTCAAATTTTATTTGTAAAATAAAGGCCTCCAGATACTTTGTACTAATAGATTTATATATCCAGTTGAGGTTACACATACCTTATATAACCCTCAAGTAAGAAGCTGGTGTTGACCAATTGATCTGGAATATGTCTAAAGATTCACATATCGTAAAACTTGTGATGTTCCTGTTCCTGTGTTCACAATGTATTGTGAAAAGTAACTACTTACTTTATACTGTTCTAAATATGGGTGTGAATACAGATTTTGAAATGCAAATTGGAAAAATAAATAAATATGTGTGAGATAAACGTTTTCGTTATTATGGAAACTTAATTTTTATTTACATTGTCTAGTCTTATATGAATAGAGTTAGAAGTGAGGTTTGGTGCACATATAACCGGTTTAGATTCCGCAGTATTGCCTTTGCTTCTAGATGCTCCTCCGTGTTTCTTCCAGTACGCCTCATCAATATTTAAGGCGGGTTTTCTCCAATATCAATCTGTATTGTTTTTTGACTGATGCCTGTGCGACAAGATGATGCGTGGACTGCATTCCGTGAACGTTGCTCTTCTTTGTTGGTCTATACTATAAAATGGTTGATAAAAAAACTTTCTTTCAACTTTTTGTCTGCTAAATGTTAGATGGTGACAAATAAATATATCCACCAATATAATTGGAATGCAGTCCACGCATCATCTTGTCGCACAAGCATACACAAGTATTAAAATAAAATGACATTTCATTAATCAAATCTTGAACAAATAAGGTATGAAAAATCTCTAAGAAAAAAATAATATACATGAAACATATAAGAACATGACATAAATTGTATAAGACAACATTTAAAAAAATCAATCTGTATAAAAAAAATCACACCGTAAGTTTTAAAAATAGATAATTGCAATACATTGTTTTGAACAACATATAAACGTATTTAAGCAAAAAAATCTAATTACATGTACAACAAATTGCATATTTTTTCTTATCGCCACACTATTTTAGGTTGTGTGTAACATATTGGCAAATTGAAATTAGCAACATTTAAAGCAAGGTCAAACACAAGCATCTTATCTATTTTACAAAAGCACAATTGCCATGGATTTATAAATAGTCAGTGGATATATTTGTTTTTTAAGTACACATAATAGAAAAAAATGTATATGGCTTGAACTGCCTTAATTTGCCTAAATTCTTTGTTATAAACAAATGTCGAATGATAGGGATATTTCCTTCACACATTTTCAAACTTAAAATATAATTACAAGTATGATGTAAAAGAGAAAAACCTTCTATATTTAATAAAATTTTTTATGAATAATTGAAAAAATGGTGTAATGAGTGAAAAAAAAAACAACAACTGTGAAGTGTTTGAATTTGCTCATGCAGAGGTATGTCAGTTTAATGAAATAAAAAGAATGCCAAATACAATTTATACTATGTCATTCTGACCAATGAAAACTCTACTACATTACAATAAATGAGTATATATAATTCTTGATTCCACATATTGTCCACACATTGTGAGTTTTTTTTTTATTTTTTAATTTGTTAAATACACATATATAGATCTAGTAGTGTTAAAACACTATCTAAGAAACAATTCGTCATAAAAATGCAATTCTTTTTTTTTTTTCTCAATATTTCCCAGTTTTTGCATCCAACTTGATAGAGAAAGACCTTAGGTAGAGCAATTAAGGGGATGCTTTGAAAACTAAAAATAGATATGTCTGCATGTATTAACAATGATACGGATATTTTTCAATGTTTCACACGTTATTGCCGCTGAAGTATAAATGAATAGTCTATATCGTGAGGTGTTGCATATTAACTATGGAGCATCATCGCTGTCATACACTGGCCTATAGTCATCTGGAAATTGAAGACCTGTAAAATAGTTTTCAATGTAAAAATCTAAACTGATGATTATGCTAGATTTGTAAAATAAAATATACATATGTCACCTTCAGTGCCTCGTTTGAACAATCTTATTTTAAATTAAAACCAGTGATGAAAGAGGTACTGTAATATATATGCAATATTTAAAAACTCTTTTGATTAACGCCATATCATGTATTTTGTTATGGAAATAGTCGTTCGTTATACCACTTTGTTACGTTGTTTACAACATTCCAGCATTTGAAAAGTTTGTCGTTCAGACAGAACATACCATATATAGTAGAGTTTTTTGTTTGGTTTTATGGAACACCAACACAATTTAGGTCGTATGGCTTCGAAAGAGGAAATATGATTTTGGCTAACATCGGGTTCTACAAACTTAAAGCAACACCAAGGGTCAAACCAAATCACCTGCTGAAGCCAAGAGATGTATAAACTCCGTTAATTCGAACCCATTTAGTCACCTCTTTTGATAACGCAGCAATCCTGATGCACCAACCCGTAAAGGCAGCCCCTCCGCCAAAAGGGAAATGAAATAGTACTCAACAAACAGATTAGAATCTCATCATAGCATGTATAAAGCCATAAAGATATTTTTAAGTAAATCAATTGACATTAATGACAACTTTGAATTGCAATCTAAGCGTCACCTCAAGGAGACATCCAATTACCTTTACAATATTAAAAATTTATTGAATATGATATACAAAAATGTAACACAATCTTTGCTAAGACTGTATAATTATGTTCCATTCGATCATACCTGTTACACTCTTTATCCATTCTCTTTGTGACGTCACAGCAAAATAAATGGAAGGTGTATCATATGTGCAGTCATATGATCCATAGCTTAAATCGCCAAATAGTTCCCAGCGCCCTAAAATCGTAAGAAAATCAAATACACATATTGAATTGGAATATTTTACATTGATGGGCACAAAAGTAAAATTTCCTTAAAATGATATTACATTGATTGATTTACTTGTGTATATATATATGTCATATTACAAAACAAATTAAGACAATTTATCACAGATATATCTATCACATTGTTTTTAACACAGTAATTAATTGAAAAATAATAACTTTACATTCATAATTAAATCAAAGATCTTGTTGACTTCAAGACAATATATACAACACAGGATAACCCATGAAAGTTCAATATAAAATAGAGAACTTATTTCCAATGGGGTCCTTTGATGGTAAAGAATATATTTTCTTGAGAACTGGCATTCAGGTCCATACTTAGAGATGATATACTGGACTGATGTTAAATTTCTAAGATCAAATAATATTAATTTCTATTGCACATTATGTTAATTACATATATCACATATTTGCAGGAATAATACTATGAATATGACTAGTTAACACACCAATGAAAGATATCTATTTATATATATCACAAAACCAATCACAAGATACATTAATATAAAACATACTATATTGATTAAAACAATTATCTCTAAAACTAATAAAAAATAAAATCAGCTTGTTCAAATTGTTTCATATTTTTGCTTAGTTCAGCTTTTACTTTCTTTTTAAAGTTAAAAAAGTTACTTTCCTTTTTAATATCAAGTGGGAGCATGTTCCAATCCCTAATACCCTGGTAAAAAAATGTACTTTTTGTAAAACTATTAACATGGGGTATATGAAAGTTCCCTACACTGTTTCTACTATTATAACAATGAACATCAGACTTTAAAGAAAAGTTATCATACATATAAGATGGACACTTTTTATTAAATATTTTGTGTACATGATTGAGTCTTAACTGTATGACTCTATTTTCTATATTAAGCCACCCAATACTGCTAAAATCAATAACTTTCAATGATTTTCTAGAGGAATAACCATGAATATAACGAACAACTTTGTTTTGTGCTACTTGAAGTTTATGTTTAAGTTATTTAGTAAGGCCACTATACCAAGATGAGCTGGCATAATCGAAGTGACACTGTATTAAAGAGTTACATAATAGTTTTCTTAGCTCCATATTCAAACTGTTGCCTTGTCTATACAAAAATTTTAATCGAGAGTTTACTTTTTGTACTATATTATCAACAATAGAAGTGGCTGAGAGATCATTATCCAAGATAGAACCGAGATACTTTACTGATGGCTGAGATTGTATGGTGTGATTATTACAGTGTATTTTAAACTGCTCTAGTTTTGACAATTTCCTCTTAGAACTAAAAACAATACACTCTGTTTTACCAAGATGTAATGATAGCTTATTATCAACAAGCCATTTACTACAATTTTCTAGTTCCTTACCCAAAACATTACAAATAACATCTGGATCTTTATGTGAATATAAAATTGCACTATCATCTGCATAAAGAATAAGCTTACATTTTTTGCTAATACTAATACTCATATCATTGACATAACATAGAAACAATAGAGGACCCAATATACTTTCCTGAGGAACACCACATGTAATATTCATAGCTTCAGACATAGTATTTTTTACATTTACAATTTGACTACGACCAGTTAAATAAGATTGAAACCATTCTACTGACTCCACACCCATTTTTTGTAACTTTCTACACAAGATGTCATGGTCCACAGTGTCAAACGCCTTTTGTAAATCTAACATAATCATACCAGTGAGCAGTCCTTTGGAAGTTTGACTTTTTACATGGTCAGTGAGATGGATTAGGCAGGAGTCAGTAGAATAATTATATCTAAAACCACTTTGTAATTCATATAATAGTCCCTGCTTAACTAAAAAAATTTCTAACTGATTATATACAGTTCTTTCTAAGATTTTTGAAACAATATATAAGAACTTAAGTAGAAGTCCAACAATTACAACGTTTGCAAGCATAAAAACAATCTGCAAAGAGGAAATCCTTCGAAAGCAATGTAAACAGATAAACAAAAACAATGGTGTAGTTGAAATAAATAATTCAGGCCTCAAAAAGGACAAAACAATAAAAGAACACTGTGGCAAATTTTACAGCTGCCCTACAACACTCTTGATGTTATCATTTACACACTAAAAACGGTGATTCCCAAGAGCAAGTCTTATAAGAATGTATCAACTATTTTTGTAACAAAGAAACAGTTGTTTTATTTTTGTAGAAATTTAACAGTCATTGTAAATGTGTATATAATATAATCAGAATGTAACTTAGTATGAATGACAAATGATCCTGTGATTTACACTTCCGCAATATGTTACAAGTCGTTGAGTTTACCTATTTCGTTTCTGCAAACTAAAGGTCCACCGCTATCTCCCTGCAATACAAATTTATTTATCAGTTAATCTCAATAACTTTGACCATATGAAGTATTCTTTATCTATTTTTAAATACCGTATTAAATTTGGCAAACATATAAAAAAAATCAATCAATTTACAGTCGTTCAATTAGGCAACAGTTATGTCATTTATAATCAATCAATTTACAGTCGTTCAATTAGGCAACAGTTATGTCATTTATTCATGAGTGATAATTAATCTACATAAAATAGTTTGAATCTAATAAAGCCTCCTTCCAATTAAGGAATCATATATGTCGGTGAACAACTTCTCCAAAACGTTTCGTATCAATATCTTTTTTGTTTTATAGGACTAATCACACGAAAATAAGACATTTGGAAAAGTTTAAATTCAATGCCTGGGCAGGGGCGGCAAAATCAATTGTCCGTGTTGACCAGGTTGACGGACAAGTGAAAATATTCTGCATTTTCTTTATAAATTTATCATACGAACAAGTTATAAAATTATTCAGAAAAAAAAAACGAACAAAAAAAAAAACGGACAAATTAGTCAAAATTAGATTTTGCCGGCCCTGCCGCTCTGGATCTTGAAAAACAAAAAGTTAAAAATCGAACACTCAGTTATATTGTCTTGTTAATGAGATAATGGAAATCGTACCATCCCTCACACCCGCTTGCACCTCTTTAATTCTCAGTACTAAAATAATGGAATCAATTATCCCGAAGAACCAAAATATAATACCATTGAGATGACGCATATTGGTAAAATTTTTATGTGCGCACACCTTTTTCCGAAATATATTTGGACAGATTATTAAGACGTTAACTTACATAACATGCCGCCTGGTAAGGTGTTCTGTTTTCTACACATATTCCATCATGTGACACATTTCCAGAGCCTGTTTCAGTGTATTTTTCTTGGCATGTTTTTCTGTTTATTATTCCAACTCGAGATTCATCCAACACTTTATCTGAATTGTCATCTAAAAACAACAACGAAATAAATGCACTGAATATGTTATTATGAAGCACCGCTCAAACTTGTTTGATAATTTAGTTTTGATCACACCAGTTGCATCCAAATTAAATGCCAATGCATTTTACATGCTGCACATAACTGAACATTGTATGGATTTTTCAGCATTTCTTGTAGCGAAGCGAACATTTGCACTTACATAGTGTGTACTCATATAGATGTAGATTCTTTCATTCGCTCATAATATCGTTATAATTTTGCTAAGATGTCTGATGAATGGTAAATGAGCGTGGCATCAACAGGGCTCAATGGCTTTTACAGTATTTTATTTACGCTTAGGTGATCTGTAGAACCTTTCGTCTCTACCACACCTTTCAGACAATTTGGGAACATTATTTCAAACTTTCAGATAAATTCAACATTTTTCTTATTTATCGCTATTCTAATAAATGTACATGTATAAGTAATCTATGCTTGTACCACTTAAATATTCTTAACCTCAAACTTTGGATATTAAGATGCTTTTTACAAAAAAAAACAAAAAAAAGAGAACTTTATGAAAGAGCTTAGCACTAAAACTGACTAACCTCTTGCTAAATAAAGCTCATTAGCTCCAAACCCTGTGATATAACATTCAGCTTGGTCACCTATGTCAAGTATGTACTGCCAGCTGGTCTTCGTGCCTAGGCAAGCAGGCCTCGTGTAATTATCAAAGTTCGGTGCATGCGCAAGTTTTAACAAAGCGACGTCATATCCTTTGGTTACATCGTCTGCGTTATACTGTGGATGACTGACTATATCTATTACGCTGAATTGCTGGCCGTGTTCCCCAACCTTGTCAGATTCTATTGACCCAAGTATTACTGTGTAAGCGTAAGCAACGCTTAAATGAGAAGTTATAAATCTGTAACAACAGCCTTCTAATAAAACACAAATATTACTTGAAATTAAAAATATAGAATTTACGACGGAGTTGCTCAATTGTTCGTGTTAATTATTCTTCACTTAAATGATGTGAATGCTATACCGGTAGATAAAATAGAAAGAAAAAAACGGAATCCCTACAGAACGCCCAAAACGACAAAATAAAAAAAATGTTTCAGACTCGGTTTAAATAAGCCTGTTCAACGACGGTACAAGTTAAACATGCGGCATATGCTGACTTATGAAACGAACATCTATTTGCAAGTAAAAGGACACGCAAAACACATTTATACATATGAATAAACTAATGACATCGGAAAAAGAATTAATTACTTAACATCTAAAATTAGAATTGAAAGAGTGTTGCATACATACAACCATGGTTTCATTAAAGTTGCGAGATGGAAAACGAACAAGAAAAAAAGATAAAATGTAACTATTTACCTGTACTCCACACAATGTGCAGCAGTTAACACCCACTGCCCACCGATGACCGTGCAGCCACAGTGTAGTTTATTATTTTTACGCAGACTTCCATGATAAGGCCGAGCTCCTAAAACAGCCTCATTTCCGTGTGGTATTAATGGTGATATGAAATTGTCAACTATTGACGAAGTCCCGCAATCTGTACAAGAGAGCCAAAGCAGATAAAACAATAAATTGTGAAAAAATTAAAACACCTTATCTAGCAATACTAAATAAATAGATAAATGACAAAAAGATTTGGTGATTTCATAAAACATGTAAACATGTTGTGGTTAAACACACATGCATTTTTTTTAATTTCAAAATATAGTACATGTACATGCATGTAAGTCAAGTAAAGCTCTTGAAAGACCTAAATTTTAGCCTCTTACCTCTGAATTTCAGAATAAATTTTCTGTTCAATCATTGTCCAAGAAAAAGTCGTAATATAAAAAGAAATCCTGTTCAAGCTGGTAAAGTTAAATTACAAAAATCTACTATTGAAAGAGAGTTATATACCCATGACATCTAAATAGTACTATCTATAATTTTGTTCTACTTACATAATGCGTAAGTATTATATATCTCGAGGACTTTTAGTATCAGAATGCATATCAATGTTCATAGAAATGTAAGTCTTACCTGGAAGCTTGCAATTTAATATCAGTGGATAGCAATATCTGACAAAAAAGAAAAAAACAAACATTTAATTATAAGTCTGCTGCTAAATGGTGTAATCTCAAGTCAAGTCAAACAGTTTTGTTTCATTTTATAATTCATTTAAATTAGACATAAATAAAAACAAGCAGAATTCAACGATCAAACTCAATTTTAGCATATAACATACCAACTATAAAATATTGAAAAGAAAAACTGATTTTATTCTACTCTAAATGAATTTATAGCATAAAAATCTTGTACAAGGCATATAAAATGCAACATTACACTGTTAAAATATATTAGATCAATTTTAAGTTAAAAAACAAAAAAACAAAAACAAGCATTACAGAGTAAAACAAAGTATTACAGCTTCTATAGTTAATTAAAATATTCCTTCACGCTAATGTAGTTTTCTGTGTAAAATATTTATTACAATATATATGTATATTTAATATAATAAATAGAAAAGACATTATTACGACTGGTAACTTTCAATTAAATATTTACTGATTACATACCTTCTTTGTCCAAAATCTATACCTGGTAAAATAGTTTCAGCCAAGTTACTTTTTATAAGCATAACGCCATTAACTTCTGTATAGCCACGCTGAATTCCGCGATTCACCAGTAACCTGTAACAAATATCCACAAGACAAAAAGACTATGTAACAAAAATAGATATAAAACAACTCAGTCAATGTAAGAAAATATCTACTTAAAATTAACAAAAAGGTCAATACAACAACAACAACAACAACAAAATATACACATGAAACAAAAAGGTTCATGTTATATCAATAAGTTGAAAGTAACAATAAAGGCATGTAAATTTTAATCGTCCGTGTTACAAGTAAATGTAACACAAGATCACTTGTTAGAAGGCATACATTGAACATTTGTAATTTTTATTTTGCTTGACTTGAGTTAACTTTGTTCTAATTATATAGCCATCATTTATTTACAGTCATCACTTATCTGTCACTTATAAACGAGCTTTGTACTTGAAAGGCACTGAAATTTCAAAATTATTTTTTAACAAAAAAGATTTCGACATTTTGACTAAGGACATTGAAAAGCAATCCAGAATCTGAAAACAATTAAATAACCACCATCAATTTGACGTACCCTCTTCCAGACGAGGAGCACAGTGTCTCCGCTTCGTGCCTGCCAATATTATTATAACAAACTGGAATCATCTCTGAGTTGTAATAAACAGTCACCTCGTGTTCTTTTATATCAACTGTTAAAATGTGTTAACATATTAAAAAAATTCTGAAGCAATTAATTTAACTTTACTTTTTTTAGTGAAAAAAACCTTTTGTAAAATAGCAGGAAAAAAAAATTTTTACACAAATTTGCCCCTAAAAAGGGTTCACACTAAAATTTAAGCAAAATTTGGGGGTCAAATTTGACGCGATTTAAACTTTTTCAATAGGTCATCTTTGTAAAAAATGGTGTTTTTAGGCGGCATATTAACTTTTAAAAATTAATTATGATAATATGACAGAGATGATCATTAAAATATTTAATTGATAGTAGGGGCTAAGTTTCCCCTACCAATCTATATCACCCGTGCCATCAACGATCTTTATTCCCGTCACAAATTTTATTTTTGCTAAACATTGAACTCTGGCATTCAAACATCCTTTTCTCTTTGCACGTCCTGTAAAATCAAAACTTTTTGACAAACCTGACTTTAAAATTTAATTTTTTTCTTAATGAACTCAGTCATTTTAGAATCCAAAATCTCTAAAGAATAAAAACAGCCAATGTATATATACTCATTTTATTATAATGTACTCTTGTGCTGATTAATTTCTTGTTATCATACCATCAAAAAACTGTTTATATAATGGCAATATTCTTAAAACCTTTGGTATAAAACGTAACTGTAATTATCCAACTTTAATTCATTTTAAGGTTGTAAGTATTTTTTGTACAAATGATCATGTAATTATTAGGCTGAATGATTTCATAAATGACAAACTGTTAATGATATTGACTCTGTATTTTCAAGATATAAAATCCATATACTAGAGAAAAACACATACACAACAAGTTCAGTCCAAAAGTCCTCTACTAAAACTATTCTATTCAATGATGTCACTATAAAAAGTCCAGAGAATATAATTAACATACATTAAGGACATCATTTAAAAATGTCACCATTATCATTAATTTAGATTCAATGCTTCTGTATTATTTTATACAGCTAAACACATACGGTGAGATTTTTATGTGCATTTTAGATAATTTAAATAGTATACTTGTATAATGTATTATATACTTCATAAAACGTACCGCAAACTTTATCTTTGGATTCATCTGGAGTTCTAGTACAATATTCATCTCCTTCATGACAACCTGTTTACAGAAAAGAAGCCACTTTATGTAAAACTATTTACGGTATAACACAAGCCTAAGCAAAAAAAGCGGAAAATAAGTTACAAGAACACACGATTATGCTAGGTCACATGAAAGGGTTCGTTTCGACCAATACAACTGTTATTTTCCAACATGTTAAATCGAAGTACAGCATTTGTCGAGCTATTTAAAATATACTTTATGATACCGGTAATTACATCATTAGAGTAAAAAACAATAAGTAAAATGTACATACAACATTTGGTTTCATCAGTATTGTTAGGGCAGTCTGGATTTCCATTACAAAAATGTCTGGTCGGTCTGCAAACATCGGCTGTTCCTGGACAAAGCTTTGTTCCGGAAAAACAAGCTAGAATATGAAATAGAAAAGTGAGTCAAACAAGTAAAAAATATATAATGTTAACTTATCGTTTAAAAAAGGAATGTGTAATTGTAGCAAGTGTAAAACTAGTCAAAATTTGTGGTTAAGATAACTTTCTATAACACATTTAAGATTTCAAAGATTTTTGTTTCATTGGGCATTCATTTTTTACTGTTTTTTTTCAGTGTTTTTTTTTTCGGAATCTTTGTGCGTTCTTTTTTTGCTAATAATGGCAGTTGCTTTTATAAAACACTGTTGTATTTATCAGTTTAAAAATCTGAAGTTGTTATATTCTTTTAAATGTGACACATCTTTCGATTTCTTCTAGTCTAGAAAAATATGTTTTCAAAATCTGAAAAAAAAGTGTTTGTTTCATCCGTGGCCGAGTGGTTAAGTCGTCAAACAAAATGCCCCTCACCGCTGTGGGTCCGAATCCCGGCAGGGACTTTGGATTTTTTTCATATAAGGAAGCTATCCAGTTCGCTTACGTAACGTCAGTGGCTTTACTCTGGTGTCCGTTCGTAGATATCTTCCTCCACCAGTAAAGCTGGAACATTAAAACCAATAAAATAGACAAGTATACTCAATATTTTGAATTGATTCAAAATATCTTAATATTGAATATGTACATTATAGATTTACCTGAATTTGAACACTTTATACCGGCAAATGTAGCTGTATACGATACGGAACACAAGGTATGAGAACACTTCTCGTCATCGCACGTGAGAGAGACGGGTTTCGTGGTTGTGTGCATTAACTTATACTCAAACGCTTCTGATTTGCCACTGAATTGTAAATAATGTTATATATCAGCAACAGATATAAATTTTTATCAAGATGAATTTTGTAACTTAAAGAGGCCTTTAGCTTTTATTTTTTGTTGGAAAAAACAATTTTGTGCTGTTTCAAAGTAGGTGTTTCAATAATATTACCTAAGAAAAGTGCATCATATCACTGCCAAGCCTTCTCCAAAACAGCGGCCCGAGAGTAATTTATAGCGCTCAGTGACGTTCGTTAGATTTGGAAACGAACCGTTCGCTTATTTATTTACATGTATTTACATGATAGATTAGAGGTATCGAGGGGTTTCCTTATTCTTAATGTATTTTATCGCTAACAAATTCTTTTTATACCTTAATTCTTTTGATTCTATAATTGTATGAAGCGATTTATCTAAAAATAATATATCTAACCTTTAGAAAAGCTGAAGACCGCTTTATATTCCAATTTTAGTATCGTCGCACAAACATTTAAACGGTCTGTTTATTAATAAATACAATAATATCGATAAATACACTTACTCAATTATTGACAAGATGCTAAATGTACAGTAAGAAAAATGTTCTTAAATGCAATAATAAATGTACATTCAGCTATAGACGTGACTCATTGGGTGATTGCTAAATGTTCTGCACATATATAGAAAATAACATACTAGAAGCCCAACTGCTCGCAGACCCTCTGAGATGCTATGTAACTGAAGTCATCTGCGCGAGATGAATCTGGAGGGAAGCAAACTTGTCGCCATGATCCACCAAGATAGTACTGTAGCTGTCCGTATGTACCATCTCCACCAACAAGTTGAAATGTACCATTTGGCCGATCTGAAAAAAGATAATTTATTTATTTATTTATTTATGTATTTATTTATTGTATTTATTTATTTATTTATATATTGTATTTATTTATTTATTGTATTTATTGTATTTATTTATTGTATTTATTTATTTATTCAGTCAGTCAGTCGAAACAAACACTTGAAAAAGTGAGTTAAGTGTTATCAAAAATGGAATGAAAGAATGACAAATGTAGTCCAAAAATATTAAAATTAAGAGCCATAAAGACAGATTGTGATTTCCATTCGGCTTTACTTGGTACTTAAAAGGTCATTTAAGGTACATGTACATATACGGTCAGCACAAGACACAAACAAGTTATTGAACAAAGGTATACAATTTTGTCGTTAATATTTAGTGTACTGTATATATAAACTAGGCATCAATTGCTAATGAAAACAACTGACAAACATGGACCGAAACACAAAAGCTAAGCAAACAGTAAACTCTAATTGCTTGAAAATTTCATAAAGTTTTGCTTCATTAATACGATTCGAGAAGGAAATTTATCACGTAAAAGAACATCTTACCGTCACAGTTGTGTTCGTCTGACTGATCGCGACAGTCGTACTTGCCATCACATATAAATGTCTTTGGTATACACGTACCAGACTGTTTGCATGAAAACATTCTATTTGAACATTCTGAAATACATGTGGTGTGTTTTACATTTGATATATCTTCAATGAAAAAAAAATATCAAAAACACAAAAACTAGAAACAAACAAAAAGTTTACTCATGTACAGTTTTATTCCTGAAATACATTCATTTCCACATTAAAAATTCAAACTATTAACATGTATATTGTAGCCTTTACTAAATATGACACATCTAAATACCGACATAAAAAGCTCCTTCAGAGAAGCATATGTAACGTTTACCTTGGGAAACAGGGCATTTTCCCGTAGTGAAGGATACATCATCAAGTCCAACCACCCCTGGATATGCCAAGAATGTTTCGCTTGTAACTGCAGTAAAGTTGACGGACAATTTCTGGTTTTCTGGAACCTCAAAGTTGCCAAATATCCAACCGTCAATTGGTCTATTCACTAAGTCGTACCTAGAGAAAATATACAAGATGGTTGTGTAGAACTGTCTATGGTAAAACAGTACAATGTACTTTACAAAATACAAAATGTTTATAAATGTAAAAGATATTACAATATACATTTAACAATTACATGGATATAACAATAAGATATGAAAATAAAAATATTCATAAGGTTGCACCGTCGGATATCCACGGTTGAATAATTAATATGTTAATCAACCGTGGGTATCTCACACTGTTGTTACTGAACACATCTTTGAAGTAGTAATTAACCTATGAAAAAATACATATAGAAAAAATATGAATACTGTCGCATTGTTAGGCCAGAAGATACAATGAAAACCCTTTTTTACATGACTCATAGTAATGATGAAGCTCAACAATTAATTATTTTCGAACAATATTCCTTTTGGTACTTTTCATATCTTTATAATAAGTATTTAGCTTCTTACTTGGCACCTAACAAATGTACGAGTATTATACTATTAAATGAAAATTTAAAGTTACAATACTAACCAAACAAATTCTGTTTTCGCTGTATCAACATAGTTAAGGGATACCATGATTTGGGCCGACAAACCTGTCGGTTGTACAGCTGTGCTGTTGAGATAGTACCAGAAGGTAACACATCCGTTTTTTGGAAATATCTGAGCTGGTGATATAGCTGTTGTAATGTCATATCTCACGTGGTTATTATCCCAGTTCACAAATAACAGGAAGTGGCCTGAAAAAGCAGACGAAAAACATCAGTTAATGAAACAGGCATCAAAAAAGACAACTGTTTAATAATACATCTCAATATTCATAGAATGATTTATAATAACTGGGACTAACAAGAGCACCGCTAGGCGGAGCATTATATGCCCGAAACTGCTTTTTTTCTTTACTAAGGATGAAGCATTTGTAAGACATTACATAAATTAAATAAAGTATTACCTCCTTCAAATAGCAATCCTCCTATAAAGTTTGAATATTGTGGGCCAAATGGAACTTCAGTTATGCTCTGGAAACTGTTTTTAGTTTTGAGGTAATAGCTACCTTGAACTTTGACCGTGTGACCCCAAAATCAATAGGGGTGTTCTACCCAATATGGACAATCATCCTATGAAGTTTCAACACTATGGGCCAAATAGAAATTAAGTTATGTTCTGGAAACTTTTTTTCAGTTTTATAGTAATAGTAACCTTGACCTTTGACATTGTGACCCCAAAATCAATAGGGGTCTCCTACCCAATATGAACAATCATCCTATGAAGTTTCAACACTGTGGGCCAAATGGAACTTAAGTTACGTTCCGGAAACTGTTTTCAGTTTTAAAGTAATAGTGACCTTGATCTTGTGACCCCAAAATCAATAGGGGTCTTCTACCCAATATGGACAATCATCCTATGAAGTTTGAACACTGTGGGGCAAATGGAACTTAAGTTATGCTCTAGAAACTGTTTTCAGTTTAAAGGTCATAGTGACCTTGACCTTTGACCTTGTGACCCCAAAATTAATAGGGGTCTTTTACCCAATATGGACAATCATCCTATGAAGTTTGAACACTGTGGGCCAAATGGACATTAAGTTATGCTCTGGAAACTGTTTTCAGTTTTAAGGTCATAGTGACCTTGACCTTTGACCTTGTGACCCCAAAATCAATAGGGGTCTTCTACCCAATATAGACAATCATCCTATGAAGTTTGAACACTGTGGGCCAAATGGAACTTAAGTTATGCTCCGGAAACTGTTTTCAGTTTTAAGGTCATAATGACCTTGACCTTTGACCTAGTGACCCCAAAATCAATAGGGGTCTTCTACCCAATATGGACAATCATCCTATGAAGTTTGAATGTTGTGGGCCAAATGGAACTTAAGTTATGCTCCGGAAACCAAATTGCTAACGGACGGACGGACAGACGGACGGACGGATAGACAGACGGACGGACGGACGGACGGACGCCAGGGGGTATAACATAATATGCCCGAAATTCTTTCGGGCATATAAAAATGCGTGTCTTCCTGTCCCAGATAATAATCATTTTCGAATTTACACAACTATGGAGTAAATAACAAAATAACCCTTGTTTTTAATAATGAATTAAGCTATATACCACTTTCATCCTGTTTGGTATGATCAAACGGTGGTATTTGGTACCAGTTCCCTCTAACCCTCTTCCATTTCTTGTATCTATTTGAGGTTATTCCATAGCCACATAGTGTATCACGTTCAAAATCACACTCTATTTTGAACTCTGAAGAAGAAAATAAACACACGAAACAATAAAAAAAAACATAAGCATTGCAAACAATTGCACTCGTTTTTGTCACAACCGAAGTGTGAGAAATGCCTACCGAGTTATGCATAAATATATCATCTGATATAAATACAAAGACAAATCGTATTTTCTTTCTCTTACAAGACATTTCAATATTGGGAAAATTCAATTTTTTGACGTCAACGATCGATAATTTTGTGTAGAAGCAAGGTTTTTAGATAGGAGCAAATGAACAAACTAAATCAGAACAAAAGTTATAAATGGATTTATCAATATTTTGATATACAAAAGCCGTTTAATGAATGAAGGTGTATGAAATTTAGTAAAAGGAATAATAATATCTGTCATATGTTGCGGTTCGGATCGGAATATCCGTCCCGAGGGGACCCGCCCATTGGGCGGTAACGAGGCTTGCCGAAAATAAGCAGACCTGCAAGGGGATGATTACATTGATCAGTAATTGAGATTAAATTACAATTACTTTCAGATTTTATTGTATATGATAATGATTGATTACTCAGACTTGCCCCTGTAATTAATTAAATTACAATTACTTTAAGTGAGTAACTGATTAATAATTGATTACATACAACATACAACTGTAAAACAAGAGGTAAACTGTAACATGTGAAATAAAATCATCCTTTGAATTTATAAAGGATATTTATTTGTTTTGCATGTAAGATTGAAATATAATTTCACTGAGTGAACACCAGATGCAATATTTTCACGAGTGGCGTAGCCACGAGTGAAAATATAATAGCTGGTGTTCACGAATGAAATATATTTCAATCTTATATGTAAAACAAATAAATTTTCTTTTTATTTCATGCTTTTTAAGTGATTTTAAGTATTTTTTACTGATTTTGCCGCGTAACGTCGCGCATTCTCCTTTGTGACGTCATCACATCATGACGTCACATCATCAATTTTGAAATATAGTTCTGTTAAATTTCTCTAATTTTGTTACATTTTTAACATGATGTATGGGGACATCGACTTTCTTTTCCTAAAGAAACAAAATTTACGTATGATGGCATTTATTTCTGCCTGTTATTCCGTTAAGTTATGATTTTCTTTTCATACGCATTCAGATATAGTACGGCTACAGTGAAAATTATATTTTATAAATTTCACTAGTGGTTTATCAGAATATAATCATCGGATATATTACAATAAAACACTGGAAAGCATGAATAAAAAGAGTTTCTTGTTAAATCTGATAGTAATCAATGTCAATAAAATTGTAATTATGATTTCTGACTGATTTTAAGCTGTAATTAATTGATAATTATTAATGTAATCAATTTTGGACAAGGTAATCAATTACATGAGGATTACTGCATAATCATGCAAATGATTATGATTTAATCATGCAAGCGATTACATAGAGGATATTTGTTTGTTTTGCATGTAAGATTGAAATATAATTTCACTGAGTGAACACCAGATGCAATATTTTCACGAGTGGCGTAGCCACGAGTGAAAATATAATAGCTGGTGTTCACGAATGAAATATATTTCAATCTTATATGTAAAACAAATAATTTTTTCTTTTTATTTCATGCTTTTTAAGGGATTTTAAGTATATTTTTACTGATTTTGCCGTGTAACGTCACGCATTCTCCTATGTGACGTCATCATATCATGACGTCACATCATCAATTTTGAAATAAAGTTCTGTTAATTTTCTCTAATTTTGTTACATTTTTACATGATGTATGATGAAATCGACTTTCTTTTCCTAAAGAAGTAAAATTTACGCATGACGGCAATTATTTCTGCTTGTTATTTCATTTAGTTATGATTTTCTTTTCATCCGCATTCAGATATAGTCCGGCTACAGTGAAAATTATATTTTATAAATTTCACTAGTGGTTTATCAGAATATAATCATCTGATATATTACAATAAAACACTGGAAAGCATGAAATAAAAAATGATGATTGCGATTAAAAAGGCAACGATTAGCCAAGGTCTGAAAATAAGTGGCTGAAAATTGCCGAATCATTTGATTGAGTGAAGTGCATAATCTCTAACGCCCTATAGCACGGTTTCTAAAGTTTACCTGAAGCACATGTGTTAAAGCTTTCGTCTGAACCAGTAGGGCAATACGTCTTTCTGTCACAATGTAACTCAGTTGTGTAACAATGGCTATAACCATCGCAATGTAGAGGCGCATTGTCAGGGCAAGCTAGTTATGGTAGAAAAATAATGTTATATAGAGGATATTTGTTTAGTTCAGTGTAAGATCGGAATATATTTCACCGAGTGAGCACCAAAAGGTATATTTAACGAGTGGCTGCGCCACTCGTGAAATATGAACTTTTGGTGTTCACAAGGTGAAATATATTTCGATCTTACACTAAACTAAACAAATTTTCTTTTTATTATATGCAAAGAAACGTTTAAAAAGACATTAAACATAATACTGAATGAAAAGCGCGCCAAAAAATAATACAACGTGACGTCAATTACGACGTCACGTCATTAAGTTGGTAGCGATACTGTGCACGCTGGTATTTCACTGAAGCAACGTAATTTAGATATTAATTTTCTTATGGAATCAGCAACTGATTATTGTGCCAGTTATCTCATTTAATGTTTCTACTAAAGTCTAGTCTATGATTCTCGGAAAGCTTATATCTACAGAAAACGCAAGATTTTTTCCAACATAAATAACATACATGGCGGACTTTGACTTCCATCTAACAGCTCAATATTATCGATCGCAATAAATGGATCTTCATCAATTTTTACAGTATGATCAGTCATTAACAAAGATGCCGTGAAGTTAAGCATAATCCATTCGGCTGTATCTGAAATCTGAAACACAAGGACAACACCTTCAAAGACAATGAAATATCATAGTAAAATCTTTCTTTTTAAAAAATATATTTTTCATACATCTAACAAATTACACATTAATTATTATTTTGCCTCAAAATACGTTTAGAAATATATTTTACTTGTTATTTCAAAATCATTCCTCTGAACGGTTTAATTAACTTCTAACTGTATTTAAGTTTATAACTATTTAAATGTTTCTTTTTCTAGTTTGGAAAAAAACTATATTCTTTAGCATTAATTATGTAAAAAAGTTACGCATTGTTAGAATAATTTAACATTTGCTTGGCATCATTGTTTTCTCTGAACATAAGAGTAAAGTTCAGCTTTGAAGTTTTGTAATCATATTTTGTTTAGGAAATAGATATCAATTCTGAGTGCATTGTTGTAGAATAATGCACGGTTTGAGTTCAAATGCGTAGTAATATAATCACGAAGGCCGATAGGCCTGAGTGATTAATTACAAAGCATTTGAACGAAAAACGTGCATTTTTATACAATAATGCACGAAGAATTAATACCTATTTCCATTCTAACACGTCAACAAAAAATATAATTATTATTATAAAGTTGGACTTTATGTTTGGTGGTTAAATTTGTTTTCGCCTGAGAGTTTCCCATAGAAACGTTCTTTAAGTGTTGAAAAAAAAACTGTCGTTAAATCTACCAAACCTCTTTCTCTATTTCTAATTGTCCTATCCTCCATATCGATGGCGTCATATCAGCCATTGTATCATTCCAAGTCGTTTGTTTGCCACTATCCTTGTCCGTTATAGTGACTTCTAGGAATGGAACCGTGCCAAGGTACTTGAATCTGATACAAGATGGTCCCCTCACTCTTTCCCAGGTTGACCTAGCAGACGATGAAGACGAAAGAGGCTGCCCTTTCAGATTTGTATACAACATTCCACCATTAACTATGAAATAAGATAAGTTTACTCTTCATTTTTATTAGGAATTGTATATTATATATTCTTTTTGAATATTGTGCATGTATTTCCTTCTTTACCTGCGATTAAGTAATATGCTGCATAACAATTAAACAATCAAACACACATCGATAAGACTGAACTTTATTCATGCATGGGGCCTATTACAATAATTTTCATCTGTATAAAATTGTCGCAAGGACAAAATTTCACCGACTTCTTATTCCATTAACAGCTTCTATTATTGAAATATCCTAGTCTGAAAATCATGTACCCTCTCTTAATAATATTTTTATTTCATCAATATAGCCGGTAAGATATTAAAATGTTAATTTCATCCAGATAAACTACGTAAGTAATGCAGATTAAATAGTATATATGAACCATTCTTCAATCATTAACCAATTTTAATCAACTGTAAAACGATAAAGGAAAATATCTATTGCGTATTAAATAAACCATTAATTTTACATTCGTTTTTTAAACACACGCATACCAGTCATTTCCGTTCCGTTCAGAATAAACGAATGTGATTCTTTCACCAACCATTTTGTTTTTGATTCAGACATTGCTGCATAGCCACAGTCATTACTACTGTCGAACTGACAAGCAATACCAAAACCTTTAAAATACAATTGTTTTACATTCAATATATTCAAAATATAAGATCAAAGGTAATTTATTTTTTTTACTTTTTAGTTTATGCTAATTAACCCTAACAAACGTAAGCTGTGAGTCTCGAATTCTGTTCCTGGAACCAACCGGTACTAAGCAGTGAGTTCACGGGAACACCGGCTTTTTTCTGACTAACTTATTTGATTGCTACTTTTTTTGATTATATGGACATGATATTATTTTTTATTCGTAGAATAAGCGTAAAATATACTTTTCGCACATTAAATAACTTATTTCTCTGGTGGTATTCACTACTGTTATCTACTTCTATTTTAATTGGTATATATCATTTACAAAGACAAGAACCGTCTTTGGAAAAGTTATTAAAATACACCAATTTTTCGTACCACAATCCGCTTCATCCTGTCCTTGGTCACAGTCAATTTTCCGATCGCACTTTAATTCGGCTGGAATGCACTGTCGGGGACAAACAAATTCTTCATTTTCACAACCTGAAATGACATATGTATATTTTGTTCGAAAATGTCAAAAAGATCATGCACAATCACAAAATTCACAATATATATTACTGATATATATTTCAATAACTGAGTGGTATATTTATGCGTTAGAAGAAAAAACTTTTGTTTATTTACTTAATTCCTCGCACTGGCCGGATGTAGTAGTCACGTGATCAATCTTCATCAAATAGTCACCAGGAACAACGAACTTCACCCTGCAAACAATATCAATTTAAAAATTGAGCCAGTTTGTATCCTTTTTATTATAGAACTACTAATAAAAAGATATAACTGATAAAATGGTATTAACATGTTATTTATTTTTATTTCTTTATTTATTATATTTTTTTGGGTTAAATGTATTGAGAATTTTACATACAATAATCATTTTTTTATTTAGAAACAGTATGTTTTGTGTTACACCTCTGTAACATCGCACTTTGGGGTCAAACGCAATTTGGGGTCCAACCCCAAAGTGCGTTACGCACTTTGGGGTCCAATTTCGACCCCAAAGTGCGTTCAACAGAACAGAACAGAACAGAACATATCTTTATTAACTCAAGTTACATACAATACAACACATGAGTATACATAACAGTAGTGAATATTAGTTAATTTAACACATGACATGGTTTTATTCAATAAATTTCTACACAGTTCAAAAATATTTTTAAGATATTTGTAAGTGGAAAATTAATTTGTATCATTATCATGGGAGAATGAGAGATGAAAAAAGAAAAGAAAAACAACAAACAGACAGCTACCGCCTGAAGGGGGGTAGATACACACGCGCATAAAAGTATTCGTGTCTCGATGCCAGTTTGAAACGGACTATAGAAATGCGAAGGTGGTAAATAATACGTCATTGTTTTACATACGGGCACTGTTGCGAGGTCCGTTAAAAAAGTTTGTGCACAAATTAGGTCAATCAATACACAAAATGGAAGTTATTATTGAATGATAGTGTACAGTTAAAATTCTACTGTACATAGTATTGAAAGTTCAATAATAGTTAAATTAACGATGGATGTTGAGAGTGAACAAAAATTTATTGTTTTTTCAATGGGATTTTAATCGAAGCAGGAATGGATTTACTTAGCACGTGGTTTAAAGGTGAGAAAGTTCATTTTCTGAGTATCTGATAGGCCTACTGTACATTTTGCAAAGAAAGCAGTAGTTCAAATCTTGGCTTGATTGCATGTATTCCAATGATAAAACGACTTAGGAAAACAAAAACAAACAAAAACAAATAAGAAATTAGACATTGGCATACTGTACTTCTGTACATATACTGATATACATGTATAATATTAAAATGTATACAGTTTGTGAACAGAACTGGTGTGCATGCATTATATCTGTACATTGGACTCTTCTATCATGTTTTATATATTTAATAATTGCTCAAACATGGATGAAGCACAAATTTGAAAGATTCTAACAAAAAGAAATTTGTTATATATACTTGTTTTACCATTTTTATTTATTTATTCTGTAGTCTGTACCTACAGGAATGTACTCAGTATCTAAGTTATTTTTTATTTATTTATCTATTTTACATTTTTTAAATCTACTTATTTATTTGTTATTTTTAAATGTGATTTTAATTTACTTAATTTCATTTAAAAGTATTCTCACTAATTTACATGTTCTTTGCAGCATATTTATGGAGGTATTTGTCAATAATTCTTTGAATTTTAGCATGTTTGGTCTTCTATAGTATACTACGTTTGATTAAGTTTTTCCTGTTTTGCTCAAAGAACGGGCATTTTAACAAATAATGATATTCATCGCCTATGTCATTAAGGTCACAGTGCAAAGCACTTTCTGTCTGGTAAATCTATTCCATTCCATCTTCCAGTTTCTATAGGGAAATGATGGTTGCCTGTCCTAAATTTTATTAAGGTAATGAAGTCTTGTTTGTTAAGTTTAAGAAGGTGGTTGTCCAAATTTATATTGCTTTTAATTAGTGAATAGTTCCTACCTTTGCTAGAGTTATTTAGAGATGCATGCCAATTTTGGATGTTTTGGTCTAGAAGAGTTTGTTTTATGATAGTTTTGATATTTTTAGCTTCAATCTGGTTTTGATGTATCCAAAAGTCATTACGTCCTGATTCAACTAAATTGATTTTATCTTATTTAGCCATTTTGAATTTAAATTTAAGTTGTGAATATACTGATATAATCTGTATGCAATTTGTTTTGTTTTGTTCCCGTAATTAGTCTATTCCAGAAACCTATCATTCTGTATTTTATGTTATTTCCAATGGATATCTACCAGACTCTGCGTAAGCAGCATATACAATGGGGTACTTTTTCTAAGATGTAGAATTTTACGTATAAATTCAGTATGAATTTTTTCGAGTAAGTTACAGTTTTCATATCCCCAAATTTCACATGAAATAGGTTTTAAAATGGTAAACTGTATGGTCAAAAAGTTTGAAAATTAGGTCTTATTGGGAGGTTAAGGTTATAAATTCTTTTGTAAAGTAAATGAAGTGCTTTCTTGGCTTGCTGTGCTAGATGTTTTCTTGTATGTAAAAAGCTTCCTGATTTAGCAAAAAGTGTTTCCCAGTATTTGTAGTTATTTACTATTTCTAAACTTGAATTGCCTATTTTAAAAGTGAAGTTGTTATTTCTATTTCCAAATACTATTACTTTTGTTTTGTCAATGTTTATATTCAGCTTTCCAATGTTCACAATATTCAACAAAGTCATTTATACATTCCTGGAGTTGTTTTGCATTATCAGACAGTATAACAGTGTCATCTGCATAGAGAAGGATTAAGATTTTTTAAAAGATTCTCAAAGTTAAGATCATTTTCAAGAGTTATTCCGGAATTCCCTTTTTCTAAGAGGTAGTTTTCTAAATCATTTAGAAAAAGTGAAAATAAAACAGGTGAAAGATTCTCGCCTTGGCGTACTCCACAGTTACATGCAAAAAAAGGAGATTGTTCTCCATTTTGGGAAACACAAGATTTAATACTGGAGTACATGTTTTTAATAACGCAAAAAAATTTTCCATTTATATTGTTTTCAAGTAATTTTTTCCACAGACCAACTCTCCATACTGAATCGAAAGCCTTAGAAAAATCAACAAATAAGCAGAAAAGTTTCTTTTTTGACTTTTTTAGAATTTCAGATAAAACAATTAAGGCTAAATATGTGATCTAAGGTAGAATAATTTTTTTCCGGAAACCAGCTTGGTTTTCATTTAGAATATTGTTTGATTCTAAGAATGAGTTAAGTCTAATATTTAAAACACTAGTAAAAAGTTTGCTAACACAGCTTAGTAAGGTTATTGGCCTGTAGTTCACAGGTGACTTTGAATCTCCTTTATTTTTGTAAATTGGGATTATTATGCCCTCTGTCCATTTTAAAGGGTATTAAACCAGTATCTAAGATAAGATTAAAGAGGCTGGCATATATAGGTAATAATTTATGACTTGTAGATTTGATATACTCATTTAAGATATTGTCAGTACCAACTGATTTTCCATTTTTTCAGGGACTTGATGCATTTCTTAATTTCTTTCTATAGTTATTTCTGAATTTTAGAATATCATTATTATCTTGTATATTAATTCTGCTGAATATTTCATTTTCATCAAAGTCATGTTCATCACTATTACTTGCATGTCTAAAAAATGTTCATACATGGAATCTAGAGATGGGAGATTACATTTTTTTTAATATTTACTCTGTTAAGATATTTCCAATAATCCTTTGGGTTTTTTACTTTGCATTTTTTCTTAGTTTTGATTCATTATCTTTATTGTACTTGGTTCAAATATTTATTCATAATTCTTTTATAGTTTTTTACACTTAGCTTTTAATAAAGTTTGGTTTTTCATACCAGTAGGATATTTGTTATACCTTTTTCTAGCTTTATTATATTGTTTTCTAGCTTTTTTTTGCAGTCAGTACCCAAACACAGGGCTTATTTTTTTTAGTATTTATATTTACATTGCTTTTTTTATATTTTTTATTTTGTGGAAATGTCATTTGCGCACTTTTGTTATAAAAATATTTTATTTAGTAGTTCAGTTATATTATTTATTTGTATTTGGTTAACAGGTTGTGTTTTACACTCCTCAATATTGGTCAACAAAGTATTTATTACCTCGTCTGGTATGTTAGTGACAAATTCATCGGCTTTTGTACTGTCCCATTTTGGCATTTGGCTTTTGTACTGTCCCATTTTGGCATTTGGTTTAAATTTCTATGACAGTTTTCAATTTTGTGCTTCATGTTGATGGTACATTCTAGCATAGCATGCCCATCAGAGAATAAGGTACAAAACAGGTACATATGTATTTTTTAACATCAGGCAAACGACCGCACTTTGGGGTCATAGAAAATTATTGTTCATTATGTTTTGAATAATATATTGTTGTCAAAGCAATTGGTAAACAAAAATCAAGGTATCAAAAAGACGCAAAACATGTGCCCTGGATTATAATAGAATCAATAGGGATTTAAATGGTCTTGATAAGTAAGCGAAGAACTTTCACCAAATAAATCGCCTAAAAAAGAATTTGTATCAATTATTAAGCTTAAAATATTTTTTTCTCAAATTTTCCATTTATTTTAAAAGAATGTACACCTTTAGTTAACTCCATTGTTTTTAGCTAAATGGACTATTTTCCCGTTTTTTATTTACACATTATATAGAAATATGATAGTCTTAGCATAGGCAAAGGTATAAATTCTGGGCAATTTTAGCAAGACATTTCAGTAAAAAAATGTGCCTGATAATAATTATGTTGAAAGAGCCATTTATTTAACTAAATGCAACATATAAGAAACTTGACTAGGTGTAGATGCGGCTTTAGGTAGTAATCCTAAAAATATCAACTATTTAAGAAGTCGCACATTAAAGGCGGAGCTTCAGAATAAATGAAAAATTCTCAATGGGGGTATAGAGGGAATTGTGTGGTATCGACGCCCCCCGGTAAAAATAACGTTTAAAAGGCCCGTTATGCTTTTATTTGTTTTTTTAAAGCTTTTTTATTTTGATGTTCTTCTATATTATCCAAAAAATACACATTGGCCAATTACCTGAACCATCTTTTTCATCTGTTGCTTTTTGGCAATGATGAGTACAGTTAAAGTGAATTAGTATTTTATATGGAAGTCAAATACAACATTGTTTTGACTACTTTTATGACAAATAATCTCACATTTATCGCTACTTTATTCAGGTATTAAGCATCTTACATTTCTCTGATACCATTATTTTAACATTTTAAAATTCGTGTTTGCTCTTTCTTACGAAGTATGTAAGATTTCCCATTAAAAAAGCCTCTGGCGAACGAGTGTAGGACAAAAGCCCCCCCCCCCCGGACGAAAGAGGGGGGTGGGGCTTTCGTCCGGGGGGGCGCTTTTGTCCGTTTCCCCTGGCGAACGGTTGTTACGGAGCTTACAAAAACCCTTAAGTTTGTTGATAAGCTTAATAATGTATTTGTAAAAATCACTATTAATAGTCCGATCGAAAAACTTGATGTTTCACCAGAACATTGCAATAGAGTATATTTATAGTTCTTTGGAAAAAATAACTGCATTTTATTTCATTCCCAACATATCTAAAATGGCGCTCAATATGGCACCAAAAGTTATCAAGTAAATGACTGACAGAACGGGACATTTTTCGCAGCATCTTTTAATTTGAGGAATACACAATTTCTGTACTAGAGTATTTTAAACGGTGGCATAAAAGTGACATTTGCATTTTTTTCAATACTTTTTTGTTTTTCGTACATATTTGTTTTGTTTGTCGTACATATTTTTTTAAGTTTTGAATTCATACTTTTTTTTTAGTTTTGCATACATATTCTTTTTTTAATTTTGCATACATGTTTTATTTTAGTTTTTTTTTTTGTACATATTTTATTTTTTTTTTAATTCATATTTTACGTGACGCAATTTGCAAAGTAGAGGTTTGGATAATTACGCCATTTGTAAAACGCCATTTTTAAACACTTCGTCATCTGTAAATTACAGTACCCCATTTGCAAATGCTGCAAATACCAACATTTTCATTTTGGAGGTATAAAAAAATAACAACACTTTTAGTATATATATAGTCCGCGGTAACCCAAAGAAAGGTTCTGCATATTGTCTCGATGTGGTTAGCATTTTACACAAAGGGCCTGAAAATCCTTTATGGGGTTTTGGAAATAAGGAGCGGGCATGAAACCCAAATCTTAATCCTTTGACCTATAGGTGTGTCCCCCGACCTTGAGCCGGCACACCTGGGATATAAGTTCTGCACATAATCTGGATGTGCAAAAGAATTGACCCAATTTTCATAAAAATCCTTAGCTTTAAGCATTTTTTCTAAATCAGTGGAATATAATGACCTTTTTAGATTTTTTGTTGTGCATTATTGTAATATACCAGTCATTTGTAATCTCCTCTCTTGCCCCGGGGAGTGCGGGTTAAAAAAGAATCATGCTTTGATGTTGGCCCCGTCCGGAGCATGAGGCAGGAATGTTGTTATCTGAGTATCCCCCGCAGGGCGAAGATTTTACCAGTGGTCGGCTTGGTTTTAAGTCAATGCCCCCCCCCCCCCGCTATTCTCAGGGCGTGGGGTTGAGTGGTGCATATTCATAATAATAACTAATCACCAATCTTCAGCCCTTTCCATATAGACACTAATATAATAGTATATAATAATAAAAAAACAATAATTATATAAAATACATATAATTTAAAAAATGGGCCGAAAAAGGTCGGCCGAAACCAGACTTGTCCGGCCGAAAACGACTGGGCCGATTCCACAAATGGGTCGAAATGTGACCAAACCACTGTGCTAGTTTTATACTCAACTATGGGCTGTTATGAGGTGTGAAGGCTCTTTTGATTGGCTAAAATATGTACGAAAAACAAAAATAAAATATGTACGAAAAACTAAAATAAAATATGAATGCAAAACTAAAATTAACTAGAAATGTGTCCATAGGACACGGGTGCCCCCACCGCGCCACTGTTCTGTCAATCTTTTTACTAAGTCAAGGGAAATTACTCTACAAATACTGGATAAATCCACAAGCAAAACCCCAGGTGCAAATCTAAAATATGCTGAGCAACCTGCCTATAGCTTAAATGACTATGTCCAATCCTTTTTGAGAAACTTGCGACACAAGTTGAAAATTGCAAAAATTTTTCTAAGTGAAGGGCAATAACTCTAAAAATACTAAATAAATCCAGACGAAAATACCTGGTGCACAACTGCACATGCTAATCAATATTCATTGTAAAGTAAACATGACTCTAGTCAAATACTTTTTGAGTTACCTGCGACACATGTTGAAAATTGCAAAATTTTACTAAGTCAAGGGCAATAACTCTGAAAATAATGAAAATTCCAAACAAAAAATACCAGGTGCACAACTACACATGCTGATCAACATTCCTGTAAAGTTTAATGACTCTAGGTCAAATACTTTTTGAGTTACATGCGACACAAGTTGGAAAATTGCAAAATTTTACTAAGTCAAGGGCAATAACTCTGAAAATACTTATAAATATCTAAACGAAAATACCCAGGTGCACAACTACACATGCTGATCAACATTCCTGTAAGTTTCATGACTCTAGGTCAAATATTTATTGAGTTACATGCGACACAAGTTGAAAATTGCAAAATTTTACTAAGTCAAGGGCAATAACTCTGAAAATACTAAAAATATCCAGACGAAAATACCCAGGTGCACAACTACACATGCTGATCAACATTACTGTAAAGTTTCATGACTCCAGGTCAAATACTTTTTGAGTTACATGCGACACAAGTTGAAAATTGCAAAATTTAACTAAGTCAAGGGCAATAACTCTGAAAATACTAAAAATATCCAGACGAAAATACCCAGGTGCACAACTACACATGCTGATCAACATTCCTGTAAAGTTTCATGACTCTAGGTCAAATACTTTTTGAGTTACGTGCGACACAAAAGTGAACGGACGGACGGACGGACGGAAGGACGGACGGAAGGACGGACGGACGGACGGACTGACAAGGGTAAATCTAAATGCCCGCCACTAACGTGGGGGCACAAAAATATGTATTGACCGCCATCTTGAACTCCACCTCAAATATTGCAATGTCGCAGATCGAAAATAAGTCAGTCCTCAGTAATAAGCAGATCTCAGATGACACCTTTAGATCTCTGGAACCCAAAGTGCGTTGATATGTAGCATATTAACGCACTTTGGGGTCAATTTCTCGATTTTGACCCCAAAGTGCGTTTGACCCCAAAGTGCGGTGCGAAGTTTAACGCACTTTGGGGTCGAACCCCAAAGTGCGTTTGACCCCAAAGTGCGGTGTTACACACCTCAAATAAATAATTTTATTCAGCAGGTTACTAGTTGCTCTTTTAAGAGGGATGTTCCGATATGCATGTACAAGTTGTGGAATTCACTTAGTAGCTAGTAGGCTGACTATGAGTCAATATTTATATCCTTGTTAATTTGATTTTTTTATGTTTTCAGCTTTTGTTGTTAACAGGACTCCATTGAAGTTTATTGACAAGACGGGACTGCAATTTCCTTTTTTCGAGGTCAATGTTCAATTTGATGTACATGTATGTCTAGACCAAAAGAAATTTTCAGATCAAACGATAATTAAACTGTGGAAAACAGGAACCTTCTACGATGTCTGATCGTGCGCTATATCCGAGTTCACTTTAAATACGGTTCATTGCATATCTTTTACTTTGCACAAACAATGATAATGTGAAATATACTAACTCGTCCATTTCCGGTCGATAGTCTAAATGGCCACGTTGCTTCCCATCCGAGTACACTGTGTATGTATAATTTGTGTGCTCTGGTCCTATTGCAGTCTCTATTATCAATGCATTTGTGTTGTCACTTTCAAAAGCAAACGCTATACAGACATTTTCCTGGTCATTTATTGTATGTATAGGGAAGGTCAGCGCACCTTGACGTTTGGTAAGTATATAGCCATCTAAAAAATATATGAATAGCAAAATGATATAATCATCTGCTAACTATACGGAGAAACACAGTAACACTGAATTTCTAAGGAACGCAAAATAACAAGCAAAACTGAAACTGTTGCAGGCTCGGTTTGATATAACCTGTTCATGGCCGTATCCCCAGGCACCAGCTTAAGAGCAGAATTCAACATTTAATCATGAAATTATCTTTTGATTTTGACACTCAGATATATCATTTTTAAACAAAGTATTAAATACACACGCAAAAAAACAAACAAACAAAAAACAACAACAACAACTACCCTCCCCCCCCCACACACACACAAGAAAAAGCGAAGACAGAAATAAAAGAGAAGTCTTTGTATAATGTTTTCAACAACCTGGTCATTTTTATTACATGATTATGATGAAACTGTAAATTTGAAAATAACCGCAGTGTTTTAAGGAGAATATGACGAACAACGACCGCAAACTGCTGAAATATTTGACACCCTTCTTCTGTACACCAAATATCTAAGAATTAAAGATCCTGTAACACAATTATTTTATTGTTTTATATCATAAATATAATACTCAAATGAAGATTTAACAATATTGTAAGTTCCAAAAAGCATTTTTGTAAAGATATTACCGAGTTTTCATTTCACGTTAATAAAGGGAGGTAATTAAAAATTTATTTTTAGTCAAATTTTTCAATTACAAATGAATGCATATATTTTAAAGATTACATATAATGTGGACAAATATTTGCAGAAGATCTACATATTTTACATATTCTTCGATGTTTTAAAATTGTTTTAGAAGCATAATTATACACATACATAAACTTTCACTCAAGTGTGGTTACAACTTTAATTACAACATACAGGGTCTTTAATTAAGGCCTACTAAGATGTGACGAAGGCGATGCGAGGGGCGAGTAAATCTCACAGCTTTTACAATAAGTGCTTGCTGCTAAATTATTATATTATTGGGGAAGATGAACAATTAGGAACAATGTAAGGTATTAAATCTAGCGAAAATTGACGTCATAACAGATACTTATTTATAGTTTACATTTATAAACATAATTGGTTATATTTTAATAATGTCAAAGTTCTATAAATATTACCTTCTAAAGTCCACACAGAATTTACAGGTTTATAACCGCACGTGTTTTCATTGAACCCACAAGCAACCGATGGAACTGTAATAAAACAATTTTAACATCTTGCTTTGGTTCTTTATCTTTATCTAATATGTATAATAGTCATTTCCATATCTAACTTTTTTATATCATCAATATACTCAACCTTGTACTTTTCTAAAACGTTCAATAATGTATCGACACTTGCAATACATACTGTATG